GGGCTGCCCTCCTCTCCACGTTCACAATCCCCCTCCTCCAGAAGAGAGGAAGGGTAAAAATAAAGTATTTCTTTTAGAGCAGCTGTTAGACTGCCTATGTAATGAATCATTTGCATTTATGTAAATTATCTGATTATGTAAATTACAGTAACATTTCAATACAAAAAACTGTCGGCCTGCTGGGATTGGGAGAAAAGAGAGGACTGGGAGGCCGGAGATACCCGCAGTTGAAGTGCTCACTGGGGGCAGAGGAGAAGCAGCGACGAATCTGCAATGACTTGCACTTGGCTGTTGGGTGGATGGGCACAAGGAAGGGCTCTAAAGAACCTAGAACTCTTTCAGGACTTAAAAGGTGATGTCTGTCTTGCAAAAAGAGACTGAAGGCATTGGGGGAGCCTCCTCAATGCTTTCAGAGCCACTGTCCAGCCTCTCCAGGGCTGGCCAGATGTTTCAAAGTATGGAATGTCACCGGGGCTAAGGGAACGTTGACTGGGGCGGGGAAAGGGCCCCGAGAAGCACACATTTTATGTTTTTGAAATTATAATTGCTTTGGACACTGACTAAATTCATTTCTTTTGCTTCTCCTTCAAACAAACAAACTAGAAAATAGCACAGAGGAAAGTTTAGGTGAAACACCCGAACAAGGAAGTGGATCGCCCTGCGTCTCTATCTGAATGAACTGTGGTGAGCTCTGTCCGTTTTGGAATGCACGTGCGCTTCCTGCTCCTGTGGTTTTGCTTGTCGGCCCCCGCCATGTCCCGTCCGCATCGGCTGACATTTCAGCCATTTTGAATCCAGGTCATAAGGACTCTATTAGCACTTTCCTGGCCTCCTCCGAACCCTCAGCCCCTCAGCAGCCATCAGCGTCTCTGGAGAAGTCGCGGTGCCTCTCTGTGGGTCTCCAGGCCCCACGGTTTGTCTCCAGGGCTCCTCTGCTGAGGTCTGAAGAACCCCTTGGTGGGCATGTACACAGAACAGCATCTGGTCCTGCTGAATCCTGACTTGCCCTCTGGGTGAAGGAGCTCTTTATTGCACAACCTCAGGACACTGACAGTTACACCTTCTGAACATTTCAGTGCTGTATAGTAGGGAGGAGGGTTTGAAAACACCTGAATAGTTGAATGCATTGTTTGGGAAGGCTGGTAATTATTTGGTGGGTAGCAGAAAGGGCCTTTAAATAAAGGAATTTCAAGTGCTCGTTGCAGAGTCCTATAGAGAAGCTTAGTATTACCTAAGGGAAACTGGAGGAAAAATGATTTTGTTACCATGATATTAGGGTAAATAGAAAGAGGAAAATAAGAAAAAAGACACAGAGTGTGTGTGAGCTGTAGCCTCTGGCTGGGGGCATGGAATAGATGTGGAGACATTGTGAGAGGTACTTTGTGAACTGCAGCACTTTTGGGTGTGAAACTCTGTTTTAACCCTCATGGACAGTTTCAAATCTCATGTAAAAATGACCTTGGGAGTCTGGCCACCACTTAACAAGAGTTAAGAGTCTACTCAGACTAGCAATAGTCAGAAATCCCAGCAACTAAAGTTACTTAGGCTGCTATGATTCCTTTCCTTTGGGAATCTCAAAACTGACTCTAGAAATTGTCATTTCTATGCCACAGATGAATACCCCAAGGAAACAGTTTCCAGCCATATTTAAAGTTGTGTTTCTCAAGATGCAGTGTGGTGCTACTGGCATCAGAATCACCTGCGGTTGAGGGAAGATGTTGGTTAAAATGCAATTTCCCAGGTCCTAACCAAGAGGCTGTTGAACTAAATAGGCATCCTGGGTGTTTCCAGTGCAGACTGAAGTTGGAGGAACATCAGTTAAAGTAAAAAGAACCAAGACCTAACTTTGAGAACTCAAACTTTATCTTTCCTGTTTCTTCTTAACAGTGGAGAGATGTAGTTTTTCTCAAATCACAAAACTCTAGCCTTGACACCTGGTCTGTAAATGTACAGTCCACATCTTCAGGTAACAGCAAAGAATCATTTGCTTGTGTGGCTTGTTGCTGTCTGAATGAAATATGGAGCTGTCCTGGCAGCCTGCGTGTTCAGCTAGCTCAGCTCTGGGGTTTATACACTGCGCCCCGAGGACAGATAGATGATTGCTTTGCCCAAAGACCAGACTTGGTGAGGGAGTTACTCAAAGCCCAAAGAAGAAAAACCTCTTTACTTCTTCACACGTCATTAACAACAATTATATTCATTTTATCTTGGATATATCCAGATACACTGAACAGAAGACAAGTGATTTCACACATAGTCCAGTTAGTGTCTATGCGGAAAACAGGGAAAGAAGCCAACACCAGCAGAATTGCTGTTGGGAATGTGTGGTTAAGTCTGTGCTCCCAGGAGATCCGAATCTGCTCCGTTCCGTTCCACCACCTTGTTTTCATGAGCACAGTCATCTCCTTCTGGAATTCAGCAAAGTAGAGGGCTGTGTTCATTGACACTGTTCCCTAACCATGTCTTTTTTAAAAAAATAATTTTCAAAAATCATCCCAACATCCCGTAATGGCAGAAGAGCAGAGGGCACGCAGTCAGTGTGGGTTTGTGCATAGAAGGATGAAGCTCACTGGAAGGGGTATTAGAGAAGTCTGGGAAGAGTCCTTGGGTTCCAGGGGATCATACCCTTTTCATGGGTAATAACTGAGAACAAGAACATAGTTCATGTATGTCCTTAAATCTCCTAACCAGAAGTGTAAAAGATGAAGCATGTCTTCAGTTCCAGCATGACATTCCGAACCTCTCTGCTCTGTGGGGTGGGTTCCAACCCTCCCAGTGATAAAGGGCCCCTGTAATTAGGGGAGCATGGCAGGTCCAGTTCCCTTCCTGTTTTAATCTGGGGACGCTGGAGGACAAGGTTGAGAGCACATTTTAAGGGAACATTGACCTCCTGGCAAACCTTGTGATGGTTTGTAAACTCAAGATTTTCAATGTCAGAAACTGCTGGTCACTGAAGTACCTGTCTGGTTCCTCAGGGAAAATCTCACATCAACACTCACGTTCATTTTATTTATATAAAGATTTAAAATAAAATAATCTACTGTTAAGAGTTTCGTCAAACAAGTGAGTAGACCTTTTAGTTGATCCATCTCCATTGTGTAGGTAAGAAAACTGAAAACCTAGATTGATTGATTTCTCCAAGGTCATGAGAGCCAGTGAAGGCTGCATTAGTCAGGGCTCTTCAGAGACACCGAACCAACAGAAGACATATATATATAATGGAGATTTGCTGTGAGGGATTGGCTCACAGTACCATGGAGGCTGAGATGTCTCACGATCTTCCATCTACAAAGCCTGTGGTGTAGTGCAAGTTTAAGCCTGAAAGCCTGAGAACCAGGGAAGCCAGGACTGTAGGTCCCAGTTTGAATCCAAAGGCCCAAGAACCTGAAGCACTGATGTCACTGATGTCTGAGGACAGGAGAAGATTCATAGCCCAGCTCAAGCAGAAAGGGCACATTCACCCTTCTTCTGCCTTTTTGTTCTATTCGGGCCCTCAGTGAATTGAATTGTGCTCATCCACCGTAGGGAGGGTGATCTTTTAGGATTCAGACACTGATCTCTTCTGAAAAGCACTCTCACAGACAGCCAGAAATACGTTCACCAGCCCATCTGGACACAACTTAGCCCAGTCAAGTTGACACATAAAATTAACCATGATGGTAAAGGGGCAAGCAGAACTAGGAGTCAGATCTCCCGACTCCTATTTCAATCTTCTTTCCAATTTTTCACCCTTTTTGTGGACAGCCCTGCTTGCCACTCTAAAGAGTATGAATTTTTCCCCATAGACGACACAGAGCCACTGAGCAGTTGAACAAGGGATAGAAGCATTTGCAGGGGTTCTTTGTGGAGACGCCAGTTGGATGGCCGTGAGGACTGGCTGGGGGTAGAGAGAAGCGAGGAGTAAGCGGTGGAGATGCACTGCACGGAAACGCTGACCCACCATGAACTGCAGCAGCTGCTGTGTCAGGCCTGCAATGCAGAGAGCCTCAGCTGAAGTCAGTTCTGGAGGAATGCACTGGGGAGATTGTGGTAAGCTGAAATCCACAGAACAACTAAGCCACATGGGTACGCTGGGAGTTGAGGGAAAGGTCAGTTTAATCTCATTCCCAGTTTGTGGCTAAGATAGGAATGGGGACTGAAATATATGGAAAGGCAAGTCCTGGGGAAAACATCAAAAGTCTATTTAGGGGCCGGGTGCGGTGGCTCACACCTGTAAATCCAGCAGTTTGGGAGGCTGAGGCGGGCAGATCGCTTGAGGTCAGGAGTTGGAGACTGGCCCGGCCAACATGGTGAAACCCCATCTCTACTAAAATACAAAAATTAGCCAGGCATGGTGGTACATGCCTGTAGTCCCAGGTACTCGGGAGGCTGAGGCAGGAGAATCACTTGGACCTGGGAGGCAGAGTTGCAATGAGCCAAGATCATGCCACTGCACTCCAGCCTGGGCAACAGAGCAAGACTCCATCTCAAAAAAAAAAAAAAAGGAAGGATTCTATTTAGGGACGTGTTGAGTTGGGGCATGGAGATGTCTAGTAGAGAGTTCTTTATCCACCACGGGACCTCAGGGAGGTGTTACTGCTAAGTAGCTGAGTATACGGGTGTTGGTGTTGGCACAAAGGTGGCCACGGTAATGGGCTCTGTGGGAGGGCAGGGAGTCCTGGCAGAGCATACAGAGTGAGAAGGGGGAGAAGTGATGTCCAAAGCTAGGGATGCCAATGAAGTGACAGAAGAGCCATGCTCAGCAGGGTCTCAAGAGAACAGCCATGGACTCTCACAGACCCAGATAACCCAAGTCTAAATGCCAGTTCTGACCAGCAATTGGTCAGGCTGAGTTCTGGGTGATCAAAGTAGCTGAAAGAAAGAAATCTGCCTCCAAGCAAAGACATGCATCACGCACTCGCCACCGGTGACCTCTAGTGAACTCCACGCGGAGGAGCCGCACACCACCCCTGGTGCTTAAAAGAGCACTGATGGGAGCTGAAATGGCCAGAGCGACTCACCACGATGAGCGCGATCACAGACAGCGTGTAGTAAATTGAATCCCTCAGCAGGCACCAGGAGGAAAGAGCTACAACCTGCAGGAGAAGGGAAACAAAGTCAAACAGGATATAGACTGTACAAATGAGACGGCGGGACTCCTGCAGGCTCAGCCAGCTTCCTGTCTAGGCCTCCTGTCCTGCACCCAATCCATCTGCCAATCAATAGGAATTTATTCAAGTATTTAGGCATATTAGTCTGGATCTTCTGAGAGGCAGACATGAAGATGGACTTAAACCTGCAACAATTTCGTTAGGGGGAAAGAGCTGGTGATAGAAAATGGGGCATCGGGGGAGCTGGACATGCAGCCTGTCCACCTGTGATGCGTGTCTGACCCCCGCAAAGAAGACAGGGATGGTTGGGTGCACTGTCCCAGCTGCCAGGCAGTCTGAGGAAGGTGCAGCAAGGCCCCAGGGAATCCTTAATGCAAAGTTGCCTATCAGAGGAGACTCACGTGCCCCAGGAACAGGCCTGCCTTGACATCCATAACGTCAAGGGGATAGGAGGAGCAATCCTAACCTGTGCCTTTGTCATGATTCTAGCGTCTGCTGCAGCCTGTCCTGCCCCGTGGAGTGAGCAACCTGTGCTGGGCTGCCGCTGCCGTCCTTCAGAAGGGGTGTGGACAAGCCTGTCTCTGCCACACCTTCTTCCCTCATCTCTATTATATGCCTGGTCTTGCTGGCATTTGACCCCTGGTTTAATCAGAATCTTTGAAAGATTGATTTGCACACTGATCCAGGGGAAAATGTTCTTGGCATTTGGAGATGTCCCTTTTTAAAGAGATGCTGGCTCTGCTGAGACGAGGCTGATAGGCACATTGCTGGAGGCTAAAGCAGCCTTGCCCTGCAAGAGGAGGGGGCTGCCAGGTCCAAAGGAGGGCAGAGGAGCCAGGGTTAGAAGTGGTGGGGAGAGAGCTCTGGATGTCAGGTTCAGGCTTCTGTTCTGGAGAAAGAATTATTTCTCCCTGGAAAGTTCTTCAAAGTCTCTTATTAAGGAATATTTAGTATTCTTCTGTCTACAGTGTAGGTTCACTTTGGCAGACCTTACAAATAAGTCTGGGAGAGTTCACACACCTTGTCCCAAGGGCTGTCACTGGCAAGTCCCTTTCCCTTCCCTAGAAGAGCACCGACTACCCCATGGGCACAGGATGTTTGCCTGGCTACCTTTGCCCTTGGCCTAGTAAGTGAAAAAAGACACAGCACAAGTCAACACTCTCAGCAGGGGTAATGACAGGCACACGCTACACCAAACACAGTGGGAAAAAGGAACCCCAGGGACGTGCAGTCCCTGAGCCTCTACCCTCCTTGACTGCTGTGCAAGTCTGTAAAGATCAGACCAAGTCAAACTGGAGGTTTTCTGGATTCAAATAACATGAAAGGCATGACTTACATAGGACCATAAATGAATAACGAGGCCAGTCTCTTTCCATTAACGCATTCCCCACTTCTTATATGAACACTTAGTTATTTCCTGTAGCTAATTTTGCCTTATTAGGTGAAGCATTTGCAGATCTAAGTCACACATGACAGGGATGTCAAGAAGAGAACTCACATCAGAAAAATCACGTTAGAATAAATATAAAGTATTCTTTACCCTTTTATCATTCTCTGTCAGTACTGTAAACTCTTAGAATCTGTGGTCATCACTCACCATTTATGCAATAGATTAAATTGGACTAAATTGTTCATTTTCCAGCAGGTCATAAAAGGTTGTATTTATTCACTTCATTATAATCAGACAAATGGGCTTAAAACATGTGGCAAATATCCATTTTGAATTTCTTTAACACATTACTTGGGCTTTTAGTTAACAACGGCAGATTGAACACATACCATTACCATTCTTGTTATACCATAACGAGATAATACTAAAGGGTTTTTTGCAAACAAGTCATAAACCCACAATGCAAAAGGAACAGAAGAGCTGATCAGAACAACAAAATTTTGGAAGCTGGAAAGCAGAAGAATAATTGGGAATGTTCTAAAAGTTAGAATAAAGATGGACCTGAAAACAGAACAATCAAAAGACTGTTTAAGAATTTATTCTCCAAACCTCCTTCCTTACTTCATACAGCCCAGTTAATGCTCATTCTTTACCTTAATAGAAAATAAGAGACCCAGTATTTGAAGAATTGAAGTTCCAGAAAACAGAGAACACAGAGGGAGGAAATGATCAAATAAATAATTCAGAAACCATTCCAGAAGTTAAGGACATGCATTTTCATAGCAAAAGGGTCCTCTGAGTTTATCTCACTGAGTGCACAATAAACAAAACAAGACGTACATCGAGGCAGATAATCATAAATCTTCAGAACACTGGGACAAATAACAGACCCTAGAAATTACCAGACAGAGGAAAGCAGGTTTATATACAAAAAATAAAAACTAGACTGACATTTTGTACTCAACAAAGACATGGAAAGCTAGCAAAAAATGGAGTAATGCTCTCAAAATTAGAAAGGAAAACAACTGCATTTCTATGCCCAATCAAATTATTAATTAAAAATGAGAAAAGAATAAAAATAAAATTTTAGTTGTCTCAGAAAATTTGCCTCCTATGTGTCCTTTCTGAAAAAGCTACTGGAGAATGTACTCCACCAAAATAAGGGAGTAAAGCACTTGTTACATATAATTATGTTACAATAAAACATAATACCAAGCAACCAGAATCTATGATGATAATTGAAGGGGATTTCTAGAATGACAGTGAAGGGAGAGTTTAGAAGGATGATAAAAGGAAATTCCAAAATGAAATTTTTACAGCAGGCTTAGAGAACAACCTAGCCAGATTGGAGTGACTCAGAAGACTACAGAAAAAATGTTGCCAGAAGGACAAAATTGATGGAACAGTTGATAATTTTGAATCTACAGAAAGAAGATTAGAGAACTCTAAGAAGAGAACATAAAAAACTAAGCAAGCAAACAATAAAAAAGACAATTATAAGCCACAAGGTAAACATAGGACTGTGCCCCAAAGAAGATGAACCATTCTATATTAATGGCTCAACTATGAAGAGTGGTCATAAAGTGATAATAAACTAAGCAGAATATTGTCTAACCAAACTTATAACTCTTTAGGGGAAGATGGGGGCTGGGTAGTGAGATGGGTGAGGCTAAAAGAGACGCAAACCCTCCTCTTCTATACTGTGAAATAAATGGAGAATGCTTGTAACTGAAAAAATCAAGTAGCTGCCATCTAAGTAGGTTATTTAGAGATACTGAGCAAATATCAGGAACAGGAACTAATGGAAAGTAGTTACCTTAGAAGAGTGGGGAAATGGTGATGGTGGGACTGGAGGATGGCTGTTTTCCATAATAAGCTTTCTAGAATGGGTTGCCTCTTTAAGCTCTGTGCCCATATAACTTTAATAAAAATAAAGATAGGAAAGCATATCACAAATTATCCACTTAGTTTTACCTCTGCAAGAAATATATCTTGTACTAGGTCTAGATGTCAAATGTGGGTGGATAGTGATATCCTTTTTCTTCTTTATAAATAGAATAGTTTTCAGTGTTTGGATTGTAATCAAGTTTCAGCCCCATATTCAGAGCATACCCTTAGCAAAATCTTTTTTTTTTTTTTGCATAGAGGTGACAAACTGGAGAACAGGTAAGAAGGCATCAAACCAAAGAATTCTTTCCACACTCTAGAAGGAATTTAGAAAGGCATACACACCCAAATAATTCACAATTCTATGGTACTTACAGTGAGAACTGTGATCATGAACTCATGTCCACCTCTGACTTACCTTTCTGACACCACCACTCACCACAAAAGCAATATTTATCTGACCCTTCCTGCAAAGAAGAAGGTTTAGAAGGGTTCTGTATCCTTGCAGAGGCCAATACCATTTGACTTACCCTCATTTCCTAGCAACCTGGGCTTGATGAATTTGAGTACTAAGCCAGGTTGGTAATACTAGCAGTGGGAAAGAGTTTGGGATTTGAATCCAGGAAGCCTGGGCCTTGGGTCCCTGTTCCCAGACACTATACTACAATGCTTCACTACAGGCAAAGGTGAAAAGCAGGCAGCCACTTGCGATTGCCTCCCATGGGGATTTTCCTTTCTCCCTCACTGTAGCCATTAAAACAAGTATAATAGAAATTGTAGCCAAAAAAGAGAATAGTTGAAGGCTGAGAGACAAAAAAAAAAAAAAAAACCAAAAAAAACCCAAAAAACAAAAACCAGTGACCACAGCTACATTTTAAAATAAACTGCTTTCAAGAGAATCGAGGTAAGTGATCAAAGCAAAAGAAGAGTTACTATAAAAACTGTAGATAGGAACGTAGATATGGAAAGGATATATTCTAGATATGGATATATTCTAGGAGGAAGAGAATCAGTTAAATAAACACTGAAACTACCTGTCCATTTGACCTGTTTAATTTACAAAAATAAAACACCACTACAGCTCATTGTGGGTTGAGTGTTTCACTGTTTCACAAACATGAATACCCTGGTCTTCTGGACTCCATATGGTTCCCTTTGCCTCTCAGTGAAGGATCACTTATCTCTAGATGAAGGCCGGAAGCCATGTGGCTCAGCCCTGAACACATCTCCTGGCAGAGGGAGACATGTTAGCATCTCTGCATCAAATGGGAGTCTCTTTGCATCTGTTGGCAGGTGTCCCCCAAGCCACAGCAGGCTGATGAGAAGACAGGTCACCTTCTGTAGCCCTTTGCAAAATGATTACATGGAAGAAAGACAAATCACTCTGGCAAAGAGACCAGATTAGAGGTCCCAGGAGAAAACCAACAGTGAGTAATTCTGTCCTTGACCTCACTGATCAATAACATAGATGGTGCAGATTACAGGAGTCCATCCACTCCTCCACAGATTCAGCCAGAGGCTCTGTTTTCCCCCTATAGTTCTAGGAATCCCACCCAGCTGGAATTTCATCCTGATATTTCTTTTTCTATTTATGGAATGCATTTCACACATTCTCCATTGAACATGCAGCTTCAGTTTGCTTCTTATACTTTCATTTAGTTTCAGAGTGGCATAATGCAAAAAATAATTCACACTTTCAAAACAACAC